CCCCAATCCATCCCAGCCCCAACGGCCATTGGACCCCACAGCTCCTCCTCCTCCTCCTCCCCTGATGAAGGTCCCCAGAGCCGGCCGGTCCGAGCGCTGCGGCACATGCCCTGGGGGTGGCGGGGCAGGGGTTGACCCCGGGACCCTGTTGAGATGTCGATGAATAAAGGTTTTTTTGACGTGGCTTTTCACCACGTCTTTACCGGGCGGAGGACAGCTCTGGTAGGTCGAGGTGCCCTGAGTTGCCCCAGATCTCCTAGGGGCAGGAGAAGACCCAGCTCACCGTCTTTGGGGGTAGAGCTGTTGGCCACGTCATGGGGTTGACCTGTTGACTCCACCGTGGGGTAGACCTTGGCCATGGGGTAGACCTGGTAACCCTACTCCAGGTAGACCTGGTGACCCCACCGTGGGGCAGATCTCTTGGCCCCACCATGGGGTAGACCACCATGAGGCAGACCTGTTGACCCCACTGCAGTAGACCTCTCAACCCCACCGTGGGGCAGATCTGATGGCCCCGTCATGGGGTAGACCACCATGAAGTAGACCTGTTGACCCTACCGTAGGTAGACCTGTTGACCCCACCACGGAGCAGATCCATTGACTGTGTCGGGCTCACCCAGGGCTCTTTGCACCACCGTGAGGGGACAAAATCCAGCTTGATGTCCCCTCCCCAAAAGCACCAAGCCCTCGCCATGCCCCAGAGCCAGACCCTCCTTCTTGGTGCCACCATCCCAGCCCCATCTCCCCGGGCCAACGCGTGACCAGGGGAGAACTTCCCAGCCCCAGAGGGGAGAAATTTCCCTGTGACTCAGCGGGAGCAGAAGGGGCCAAATTTCCCCACCTGGGGTAACTTGGCAGTAGATCAGGGCTGTTTCACCTTCCCGACGAGGAGCATCCACCCAGGCCACGCTGGCTCGTGAGCGGGAAGAAATCACCCGCTGGAGGCCAAATTTACCTCTTCGCATGGAGCTGAGGCCTCTATTTTTGCAGGAAGGGGTGGGATTTTTTCCTCTCCATGGGATCTCCGTGATCCCACCTTGGTGGCGGGGGTGGGACAGAGAGCGGTGCCAGCCCGGCTTCACCGCGGCGCGTCGACGGGACGCGGCGGCGGGGTTGGTGGGCTGCAAAAACACCTCGATGTCTTCCCCGGTGGAAGAGGAGACCTGGCAAGGTCAGGCCATCACGTGTCGTCCCCCGTGGCTCAGCGGGGCAGGGAGCGACGCCGGTCGCCTTGCGCAAGGTGTCACCCTCCCTCTTGCCCCACGTGGCTGAGGCCCGGCGCGTTGGAGGGTGTGGGCCTCGTCTGGCCGCTGCGGTGGGGAAAGAGGTTTTGGTCCAGGTCCAAATCCCCAGGGAGGTGGAGAAGCGATTGGTCGTCGTTGCCGGGGCCAACGGTGGCCACTGGTGACTTCCAGCTCTCGCTCAGCATTTCACGGGAAGGTTCAACCACCTTTCAGCATGCCGTGAAGATGGGCTGACTTGGAGGGTCCCATGTTGGTGGCCAGCAGCTGTGGTGGGCTGCCACGTTGGGCTCCGGCACAGGCGGCTCCAGCTCGTCCGTCATCCATGGAGGGCTGGTCAACGTGGCCATGGAGGG